TTGTTTGCATTATTATAGTTAGGTGGTACACGTACGTTAGAAAGAAATACTAGACCATGGTCCGGATAGGAACCACCATGCTCATCGGGCATCCAGGCCGCGTCGATGTCATGACCTCTTTCTTTTGGACTTTCGAATTAAGCGTTGGTAAAGTTGATAAACGTGAAGGCAATTTCAGTACAAAAAATTGATCCACTGAAGCATTCCACGCAAAAACTAGTTTGGCTAATTCGTTTCTCCAATAGATAAATTCTTTTCTTCGAAGAACCGCTTCGAGAGGGCAGGGCTGCAGGGGTTCCTACAATTTCTACAGAAAGGATAGAAATGGTCGAGTTTATAAGAAAAACTACACCCAAAAACCAACACAGATGATGATTCAATTTATAAGGAAAGTCGGACCCAAAAACCTACCGGAGCTCGAGGATTCTATGAAAACAACTGACATGTTCTGGTGGGGGAGATGAACAGAATAAGAGAAGAGTGCATTGGGCAGCTTGGAAGTTCCTTACTGACCCAGTATGCAGGGACGCGCTGGGTTTCAGGAACTCGTATTGTTTCAACCAAGCTCTTTGGGCGTGCCAAGCTTGGAGACTGCCACATAAGCTAGAATCCCTATATGCACAACTGATGAAAGGTAAATACTTCGCAAATGAAAATTTACTTGAACGGTGTTCCTCTCAGATACTTCAGCAGGTTGGAGAGGAATTGAACAGAGTCTTGAGCTGCTAAAAAATGGCTTGATGCGTATAAGTGATGGGTCCAAGACTCGCATCTGGCGGGACAACAGAATCCCGAGGAATGGTGCTCTGAAAATCATGACGGAAAAGAGCAGAGCGAAGCTGAAGTGTATTACTCCCCTCCGATCTAAATTAATTGTCGCAACTCTGCACACATGTACGTACATGACCATATGCACACACAAATACACGAGCGGGACAGGGATGAGTTTCAGGCATACACGATCGACCTCCATGTGTTCGTGGAATCTGAAATTCAAAGCTGCCTCAGTACATCACCAAGGAATTCAAAAATCAAATTTTACAGAAATATGAGAAAGTAGTGGCTGCACCCACCTTTCAAATTTCAAATATAGTCCGTATACATTGCTAGTTCATCCCCAAATTTCAAATTTACAGAAAATGCATCACTAGATCCCACCCGACTGAGGCAACTTTTGATCGTTAAGAGCATCTCCAGCCGCGCCCTCAGGAAGGCCTCCCCAGGCGATTTTCTCGCGGCGGCGCCGAAAAAAGGGCCCAGTTGCGCCCTCAGAAGCCCGATTTTCGCCGGTCTGAGCCAAAAACAGCGCTGGCGGACCCAGGCTGAACCCGGCGCGCTGGGGGGCGCCCGGGGGCGCCGGGCGAGCTGTTTTGGCGCGAAAAAGCCGCAGGCCAGCCGCGTCAGCGACACAGCGCCTCGTCTTCCCCCAACGGCCTCGGTTCCCGCGGGGAATCAATGGCAAAGATGCCGCCAGTCAGCCTTGCCATTGATTCCTCACGGGCGGCGCGTCACGGGACGGCGCGCCGACGCCTCCCCTCCCTCGCACGCGTTCACACGGGGGCGGCGCGGCTATATAGCCGGTGGCCTCACTCGCCTGTGCCCACACCAGCCCCGTCCCTCGCCGCCGCCCAGCCCCTCCCTCTACCCCTCCCGAGCGCCGCCGCCCAGCCCCTCCCTCTCCCTCTCTACCTCTCCCGAGCCCGTCGCCATGGCAGAGCGTTTTCCCGGAGACGAGGCGGTGGCCAACGGCTTCGGCCGCCGTTCGCTACGCGAACAGGAGTCCTGGCTCCTGTTCCAGGCGAACATCCCGGCGCCGTCGGACATGCGCGCCGAGCCGATGGGGTGGAGGCTCAGAGACGGGGGAGTGCCCGTTCCCCCGTTGCCCGACGCCGTGGCCAAGCCAAATTACTTCGCCGAGGAGGTCGAGGTCGTCCGCGCCTCCCTCACCGACGCCTAGCTCTCCCTCCCCCAGTACGCCGCCGACAACCACGCGGCTTGGGCGGCGTACTTCGAGCGCCGCCAGCGGCAGCGGTTGGCGTCCACCAACGACGCGCCGGTGCTCGGCGGCCAGAAGAACAGCGAGGGGCGCCACCTGTGGTGGGACGTCCCCGGCCGCACACTCGAGGGCGTGCTGACGTACCTCGAGGGCGACAACGACCCGCTGTTGGCGTACCCGGCGAGAGTGGCCGCCCCGGCGCACCACCGACGCGCCGGGCCATGGGCGCCAAGGAGGTTCGGGTCCTCCTCCTCTTCTTCCTCCTCGCGATCTTCCTCGCACTCCTCCGATGCTCCGGCCCTGCTCGGCGTCAAGGCCGAGCCCGCGGCAGAGACGCCGCTCGGCCGACGCACTCCAGCGCCGGCATCGTCATCAACGAGGGCGGCCGGCGCGCCTCCTCGGCGGCTCCTCCTCTGTGCTTCGTCAAGCCAAAGACGGAGCCGGGGCTCACGCCGGTGAAGACCGAGCCGGGGCTCGCGCCGGTGAAGACCGAGCCGGGGCTCGCGCCGGTGAAGAAGGAGCCGGCCGCGCCGGTGAAGGCGGAGCTCGACGATGACGACGCGGCCCTGGAATGGGCGCGCAGGGACTCCATAGCGATGGAGAAGGAGCGCCTGGAGAAGGCGAAGGAGCGCCAGTGCGCCGCCCTGCGGCCGCTTCGCGGAGTGCCGACGCGGCCGCGACGAAGGCGGAGTCGTCGTCATCTGCGACAGCGACGACGACGACGCGCCACTGCCACCAGCCCGCGTTGGCGACGCCGGTCAGGGGTCCACCAGGGACGGCCGCGTCAAGGAGGAGAAGTTCGACGATGGCGACGACGCCCGGCTCTCTCTTTTAGTTTAGTTATCTATTTTGCTATGTAATGAAAACCGGCGAACATGTCTAATATATGCCCAAATTTGCCGAATTTTATCGTGTTTCGCCGAACTTCGCCGAACTGTGCCGAAATTTGCTATACAAATTTTATTTTTAAACGCGCCTGGGGGCAGCCCTGGGGGCGGCCCTGGGGCCGGCAGCTGGGGACCAACTCGCCCCCAGGCCCAATTTTTGCGTCGGCTCACCCCTAGGCGACGATTTTAGACGCCCCCTGGGGGGCCAACGGCTGGACATGCTCTAACATGCGAACTGAACCTGTGTCCACCCGGCTGAACTGAGACCAGTCGCACTTGTATAAACACACACAAAAGAAGGTTTTCGCCCCATTTTATAAATAAAGCAAACTGTCAGAGAGCACACATACATGGACTAGTCCACACACACACTCAAATCTTATAAAGAAGTATAGAGGTTCTGCTGAGAGCGTAGCTCAACAAGCCCAAATAAAATAACGGAAAAGCGCCGGAGAGCAAGACAAGTGCCTAGTCAGGTTCCGGCGGAGGCGGTGGGGGTGGCGGCGACAGACGGACGGCCATCGAGCGGGGGTCGGCGATGAAGGCGGAGATGGCGTCGCGGTCCTGAGGGCGGCTAAACGGCCGCCAAAACTACAAGAAATCGGACAGTTTGAAGATAGCGTCAGTAGCCCGTCGAAGAGGAGTGCGCTGGATCACAAGCTTATTGCGGATCGTCCAGAGGGTCCAAGCGATGACCCCAATCTCAAGCCACCTAATGTGGAGAGACGTCAAAAGGGATTTCTGGAGTTCGGCAAATAGGTCGGGGAAGTTGGTGTGGCACCAATTTCCACCCACCGCTTCGCGAAAGTAGCTCCAAACAAATTGAGCGGACACGCAGGAGAAGAAGATGTGATTCGAGTCTTTAGGGATACCGCACAACGGGCAGAGGCCAGTGCTCGGGCCATTTCGCTTGTGCACCTCGACCCCAGACGGGATCCGACCTCGAATCCATTGCCACATGAAGATCCGGATCTTCAGAGGCAGGTGGATGGACCACACCCTCATAAGGAGGGAGGGGCGAAGGAGGGGGCAATGGCCTGGTAGAGAGACTTGGTGGAGAATTGGCCAGAGGGCTCGAGGCGTCATCGCACCTGGTCTGGGCCACCATCCACCATCGGCTCGTGGAGAGCGACGCAATCCAGTAACTCACGCCACACGGCGAACTCCGGGGACCCAAATGGCCTCCAGAAAGCGAGGCGCCCTAAGTCAATAAGGGCCCTCTCAACAGAAATCAAAGGGTCGACAGCGATGGAGAAGAGGTCGGGGAATCGCACAGCGAAGGGAGTGTCTCCGGTCCACCGATCAAACCAGAACAAAGTCGCCGCCTCGGAGCCCGTCGAGATGGAGGCCCCAATGCGGAGAATAGGTAGAAGTTGGACGACCGACTGCCAGAGCTGGGAACCGCCCGATCTTTGACAGAAGGCAAGGGGTTGTCCACGTAGGTACTTGTTCCGGATGATGTCGAGCCAGAGGCCACCGTGACCTTGCGAGATGCGCCAGAGCCAGCGGGATAGGAGGGCGATATTCATGCGCTTAGAGCACATAATACCAAGGCCTCCTTGTTCCCTGGGCTTGCAAATATCAGGCCAACTGACCATATGGTATTTTTGCTTATTGTTGTCGCCGGCCCAATAGAAACGAGACTGGACTTTGGCGATCTCATGGTGCAGAGTCTCGTGAAGGCTGTAGAAGCTCATGAGGAACAAGAGGAGGCTGGAGA